GAAGGAAGGAAGGAAAAGGAAGGAAGAAAAGAAGGGAAGAAGGAAGGGAACCCCGAAATGTTCTCCGGCGGCGTTTCCAAATTGGGGCCGGCCCCCGCGCATGCGCGACCCGCTCCCTCGCCCTACTTCCTCACCCCTACCTTTTTGCTCCGGTTCCGTGTCGGCGTCGCTCCCGAAGAGTTCCTCCATGTCCGCCATACCGAGCGAAGCCCAATACTCAGGCCGGAGCCACGGGCCCGGCGCTGCTCGGTGACGTCACCGGGCCGCGACCTGGCCCCTGAGCGGAAGGGGCGGGCTTCCTCGCAGTGATTTATTTAGGGAACAAAAAAAAATGGCGGTCGGTTGCTTTTCCACCTTGCCACGATTTCAGGGTTGCGCCTCTTGACTTTAATAGATCTATGGCAACGCCTTCTTTGTTGAGAAAAAGGGCGGCCAAAAAGGAAGTTGTTTTCCCATAGAGATAAAATAATAGAGTCGCACGAAAAAAGTGACTTATGCCCATCTTTCACACTTATGACCGATGCAGCATCCTCATGGTCACGTGATTTACCAGTGATTTACAACCACTTGCATGACAACTGGTTCTTATTTACGACGGTTGCAATGTCCCGGGGTTGTGTGATCCCCTTTGGCAACCTTCAAACAAGCAAAGTTGATGGGGAAAAAACCAGATTCACTTAACAAGCGGGTTACTCAACTAACAATTGCAGCGATTCGCTTAACAAATGCAGCAGGAAAAGTCATTAAATGGGGCAAGTGTCTCTCAACAAACTTCTCACTTAGCAACATAAATTTTAGGCTCTGTTGTGGTCCTAGGTTGAAGACTACCTGTAGAGTAGCCTCTTCCTCTTATCACCATCTCATCCCAGTTGCCTCCATGTTATATTACAGCTTCCATCATTCTCAGTGAACACAACGTCAGGCTGACCCGATTGAAGACAGTTTTGTCAGGCAAAATTTATTTGTAATCCATGATGTTTGTTTAAAAAAGACAAAAGATGCACCTGTGCTATAAAAATGCATTCACTGTATTGTTGGATGCAGACCTTTGACTGTTATTTGCATTTGTGAGATGGTACTAAATCATGACAATAACTTATGGGAGGGACAGAAAACTTTTCCGTGATAATAACTATTAAAAGAGCTTTTAAAATATTTTTATTATATTAATGACAGCATGCAGTTTGGGTTTGGGATGAAAGTCTGTGCTTGTTTTTTTTTTTTTTTCTCCAATGGAAATCTCAACCAAAACATTTTACAGTTTGTAATGTAGAAATGGTGTTATTTGCATCAAAAATAATAAGACCGCTCCCTCCTAAACATACTGATGTGCTACGAATCTGTTGAAGATGTTCATCTTCCTTACCTAGGTCATAGAGACCTAACCTTAACGCTAAGGGGGATTTTCCCATGTATTTTACCAGGAAACATAGGGCAGGTTTGAAAAGTCACCCTCTTTCTAAGCATAGCGATGCACTAGGAATCCGTTGACTCTCCAAATTCATGGGGACCTAACCCTAAGTGGGTTTGCCCCCCTATGGGATTTTCCCATGTACTTTACCAGGAAATGTAGATAGGGCGGGTGCAAAAAGTCAGCCCACTCCTACCCATAATCAATGTGCTAGGAATCCATTGGCGATGTCTATTTTGCTGTCTGAAATATTCAGGAGAATGATTCAAATCATATCAGGCATGCAGAACTTAAATTCAAGTACTGTTTCTTGGATCTAGGTTTGACATATTAACTCTACTATGAGTTGCAAACCAAAGCCACACGTGACATGTAGCTGCCCAAGCACACATAATGCCATTAAGGAGACTTGAATGCTAGTACAAGATTGCAATTGTTTCTCCAAAAAAACCCAAAAAGTTGCATCCAGTGATCGACACACCTAACTACAGTATCTCTCTCTCTCTCTCTCTCTCTATCTATCTACGAAAGCAAAATATATGTAACTGTTCTTTAAAAAAATTTTGGAAAGAGAGATCTGACGTTAAATAAAGAGGGTGCTTTCTCTGTGAATCCTATTCTATATACAAAATGGCTACAACTGGCCCTAAGTTGTGTTACTGCTTATATTTCATCGCCTTCCTCTTAATTTTCCCAAGGCCAGCCCCATGGGCTATAGAGTGACCACAGAATATGAAATTGTCAAGCTGTAAATCAGAAGCAGGAATTTATAGAAATGGTGCTATTGCAGGACAATATTTCACAGTGATAACCAAGCTCCGTTCGTAGCATTTAAAAGCATCTCTTTAATTTCAACTGTTGCATGGATTAAAAAATTTTTTTTTTAATCATTTTAACACATTTTTATTTAAAAACATTTTTTATACTTTGAAGTGAATCAGGCGACCCCGAAAAACAAGTTGAAATTGTGTAGCACCCCAATTCAAGGTATGCGCAGGATTCTCTCTTTTTGACAACAGGAAACAGGAACAAGAACCACAGAAAGGGGTGTGAGGAATTATCATGTCCTATCCAAAGTGGGATTCCTAATTTACAGCTTTTCTACCAAACCAGAAACTTGTTTTGGACAGAATGGGAAGTGTTTCCTAATTAGGAAGTAAGAACCATGGGGCAGCATTTCCTATCATGGTTTCCCTTGAATAAACCTTAAATCTTCAAAATCCTAGACTTGCACGAGTCCGGTGTGTGCCACATCACCATATTAAAATGAAGGATTCCCTTTGCACACTCAGTTGAGGTGCATCTCGATTGTCAAAGACAATGCCTATTATGGGATGGCTCCAAGAGAGACTTGGTGTGAAACAGGCAAGATCCCTTCCAACAGCCATCAATATGTGCTTCTTCTCAGGCTCAACTTGAAGTAGGAACAGCCGGCTGAGGAGTTATCACGGACAATGTCCTAGGATGCCACAACAACGAGCTACGTAAAAGGCATGGGAAATTCAAAAAGGGTAATTTTCTCTACCCAGCAGCCTAGCTGTGGACAAGCATCAGGGTGAGCTGCGACAGTATCCCAGAACGTGGCTGGCCAGAACGTGTGAAATTTGTAGAATAGTGTTTCTCATCCGTGGCAACTTTCAGACGTGTGGATTTCAACTTCCAGAATTCCCCGGCCAGTTATGCTATGCTATGTTGGCTGGGGAATTCTGGGTGTTGAAATCCACATGTCTCAAAGTCAGAAACACTGTTCTAGGAGTCACAAGGTATTTTTCAACTCACATAAATAGGGCTTGTTAAGCACTAATGGGCCAGCATGTCGTGTTACAGCTTAGCAGCCAGAATTTGACATGCTGCAATTTATACATACAAATATATTTTCTCTCTTTCTCTCACACACATATTTAAATACCGAGTAGCAGAACCCAACGCTATGCTGATGAAATGGGGGGGTGGGGATTATCTATATAAATACAACCAATTTGGGCATGACAGAGCAACGTGCAGACATATTCTGTTCTACAAATTCATAGAGAAATAAGCTGCCCAGGGTTAAGGCACCCAGCACCAATTTTTGCTAACTGAGCTCATCACAAAGAGGGAAAATAAGTAGCAGCTGAAGCAACCCTGAAATAATCTTACAGCGAAAATGACACTATCTTCATTTTGGGTAGGGCGGTAAGAGAAACATTAGCCAGAGCACTGACGTGCATCACTGCAACATAGATGGTGGGTGCAGTAATCATTTCCCTTTGTTTTCGGGAAGAAAAATTCCCTCCATGACACACACAAAACATTGCTTCGATGCCTCAGTGCTTATATTAGAATTCCCTATTTCCTATCGGATCATTTTCTCTCAGTGGGAATTGAAAGAGTTTGCCTCCTTAACAGTAGCTGTTGATTCTGCCACTTCTGTGCCACCGATGTTATATATAGTTGGCATTTATCTGCCCAGAAACTCCTGAAACAAAAAGGAATTAACCTGGGGACCAATGAGGCTGGCAGGTTGTCAAACCATGTATTGGATGCCAGCGCTAGTAATATAACTTTATCAAATATATATATAGAGAAAGATACATATATATATATATATATATTTACACACTCAACCGTATGAACAAAAAGAGGAATGCTAATTCCAGTCTTTTCCCTTCTAGGCAAGTAAGAAGAAATCTTGGGGTGGCTGAACCCCAGGTGAAGAAGTGGGTGTCCTTTACGGAGGTCCAGAATATTTCCTCTTCCGATGGCTGGAGGGTTTAGGGATGGTCGCCTTCCACTCTTCGCTTGCGAACTGTCCAGACAGAAGGGACGGAGCAGAGGGACAAAAAAAGAGAAAAAGAGAGAGAATTAACTTTGGCGTGAAGTCATCATCTTCCGTTCTTCAGAAGGGAGGGATTACAGATTTTCCTTGACTTACAGCCATTCATTCAGCGATGGTTCGAAGTTACACTGAAAAAAGCGATTTACAACTGGATTTATGGCCATCGTAGCGTCCCCAAGGTGTCGCATAATCAAAATTGGGGCGTTTGACAACTAGCATGTGTTGGTTAGGGGTCATACAATCACTACTTCTGTCCTTCCCAGATGGTTTCTGACAAACTCAAGGTGGGAAGCTGGATTTTCTAAACAGTCGCTGTGGTGTGCTTAACCGCTGAGGTAAAAAAGCTCATTAAAAATGGCTGTGACTCATTTAACTTGCTGAAGCAGTGGAAATTCTGCTCCCAAATGGGAGTCATGTGAGCCTCTATGGCACAGTGGTTAGAGTGCAGTACTGCAGGCTACTTCTGCTGCCTGCCGGCTGCCTACAATTTGGCAGTTCAAATCCCACCTTGACTCAGCCTTCCATCCTTCCGAGATGGGTAAAATGAGGACCCAGATTGTTGGGGGCAACAGGCTGACTCTGTAAACTGCTTAGAGAGGGCTGTAAAAGCACTATAAAGTGGCCTATACATCAAAGTGCTATTGCTATATGTCGAGGACTGTCTGTAATCCAACGGGATACTGGGGGCTATCCCCCAAAGGGACAAGGAAATGGTATTAAAAATAAAACCAAGTTAGATTTAGTTCAGGTTTAAACAAAAAATGCCGTTAATGTTTAAACAAAAACACCGTTAATGTTTAAAATCAACGAAAGGCACCCAAAAGCTTCAAATGAGTTCCCTCTATCGGTATCACTAAATGTACCAATTCGGTGGTAACCTTTGCAGCAATTTGGAAGACTTGCCCTGTACCTTTCAGCCCCAGGAAAGCTCCTGCCTCTGTATGCTCTGCCACCCATGCTCCACAGCCCCGTCTTGCCAAACCACGACAAGAGCAGCAGCCGAAACCGCTCCCGAGCAGAAGTTTTGTGCAGGAGAAAACGACA